TCAATTCATGTGAATATGACTGAAAAATAGTGGTGTATATTTACTTGTGACCATGTTGTGTATGTAGTGCCACCTCAAGGAAATTGCGTAGCGATAATAGAATGCACCCAGAAAATAAAAAAGACGCAGAGAGCTATAAACCTAGGATCCGTATGATGTCCTCTTTAATAATCGCTCTGACCCTGGCATGTGGTCATCGATTGAATATACAGTAACCTGCAGTGAAGTTTGGGAAGGTGTGAGTTCTGGAAATATCCTCTTTAAGTTGGTCCAGCGCTTTGGGGTAGTTGTATCATCCTGGAGGAACCATTTCAGCTACACTGGCCTCCCATTTAATCCAAAATTAGATTACCTTTAACTATAACACTTACAAGGCTTTGTTAAAAGTGTGATAGTAGTGGTTTCACATTAAAAAAATACTCAGAAGTTTATTTATCTCCCAATAGATGGAGGTGATATCAAACTATTATAAAAACTCTTATTTAAAATACATGAGACATAACAACGTTTTCAATATCCCTATTAACTGTTGCTACTTTATATTTATTTCAAGTGGACTCCTTTATGTCATGAATAATAATTGCTATAAATCTTTCTCATTATTCATAACAGAATATCTAACCTTCTACTAACTGAAGTATAGCATGTATTTTAACCATCCTCATCTTAGGTTTATGCTCAGTACCAGTGCCATCCTTACTTGACTTTAAGTAATAAAACATTATTCGAATAACCAGGAGCTGATACAATAATTATTCACTTAAATTCTCTGAGGGTTTCTAGTTTAGCCTGATGTGATTTCAGGATAGTAACATGAAATCAGTTACATATACCAGTTACTTGGAGGTGTTGGTTGATACTATTTTAAAAGAAGTGGGTACAAAAATTTCACATTTAGAAATGTTCTGTAAAACATTTATTAAACTTGTCCAAACTGTACTTTTGTCAGTTAGGTCTGTTAAATTGATTTTTATTTTTACTTTATTTATCATTGTTTTAAACATAATATACGTTTGCACACGATATCAATAATGGAATGCATTTACTCCAAACAATGAAATAAATATCATGTTAGCAATGGTGGCTTGTACCTGATAATGTGTGTAATATTGGCTATATCTTAACCCCACCCGAGTCATTGGTCTTGCAAGTTTCATAGCTATAAAAACTTTGATACCAATTTTTGTAGCAGACAAAGTCTATCTATTGTTTGAACTGAAATATTCTGAAATAATAAAAATAATTAATTAATTAATTCCAAATTAATAAAAAATAATCATACTTTATCAACCACGTAAATATAACTCATTTGATAAATATCGCTCTTTTATTGCTTATATTCTGAAAAACATTGAATAACCATAGAATTCCTAAATTTGTATCAGCCATTGATTTATATGATTTAACAAGGCTTGCATGCTCAGTTGCAAACCTTTCTTGAAATGCTTTTTGCTGGTTGTTTCTAATTCTAGTTTTTAATTGATTCCAATAACTGTGCAGCCAGCCTGAAAATCCTTTTTAAACTTGATGAAAAGGTTCAGTTCCTCTCGGCTATTTCCATCACAAGCATACAGAAACTGCACACATAAAACAAGAGCCAAGAGGCACAAGTTTTGTGTGCTTCACGCTGCAAGATCTCAACTCGATGAGTGAACAATAATATGCTTGAGCATTCTGTCACAAGACCAGGCAGTATTCTAAAATCTTATGCTTAAAAAAGATAAAATATAGATATCAATATGAAAGAGAAATCATTTATTTATCTCAAATCTTTGAGGAGGCATCCTTATTTATCTCAAATCTTTGAGGAGGCAACCTTTACATCTTACGAGCTGCCACACAATATCAGAATGAGATATCAGTTGAGACGAGTAGCCTCAGTTGACTAGAATCTGAAAATATGTCATTTCTTTTAGATATTTTATAAAATAAGCTGTTTAAAGACCAAAGGTTCTTCTGACAACAAAGCTTTTCAAAAACGTCTACAAGAAACAATATAAAGAAATACAATACTATAAGGCATTTGAAAGGTACACAATTATAACTCGTAAACTGTATGGAGTTTCATGCTTCACTCTCTGTTCACAGTTCATACAAAATGAAGGTTCTTGGTTACCTTTATTTTACTACCTTCAATGTCTCAATCTATGTACGCACTTCTTTCACCTTGATGTTTTTTACTTTATCTCATATTGCCCATTATTGTTTTAGCATATCG